GGTCGTTGTACTTGGCATTACTGCCTGCAGTGACCTCAATGGATGTTTTGTATCCACACATACATATCTAACTAATTTGACAGCTCATAAATATTTAGTGCATATGTTTGTTACAATCAAATTAGCTAAATGTTCTTTTTTCTTCATAAACTTATAGATTTTTTTAAATACATCTCTTTTAAAATTGAAGAGAATTGGAATGCGAAGATAAAGATAAAAAATGTATTATGGATAGAGGCATGTTCATTAAATACCAAATTGGGGACAATGTGACATGTATGAAAAATCAATGATCTGAGCTCTTAATATTTATTAAAAACAGATATATAGATATTAAAATTACAAAATGATTATTTTTTATAATCGGTCAGGATCTGTATGTAGCGACTATGTCACTGTGATTTGTCTCCTAGTAAATGGCGTTGAGAAAATTACAGATACTCAGATGCGAATGGCAAATTACAGTAACTCCGGTGGGGATTTACGTACAAAAAATCCAAAAAATTCGTATAAAACCTTTAAAATAGCGATAATTGAGATAGAATTTTATATGGGACCTTTGCCAAAAATTGAACTATATCGAAACTTTTCAGCAAGAATATTTTTAGTCCTCCGAGAAACCGGAATGACAAAATACCTCTTTGGGGAATAAACTTCCAAAATACCGAAAAATTTACAACCATGTTTCCATCCTCAAAGAACCTTCAAAATGCCGATAATAGTGCTAGAAAATTATGTGGGGCTTTGTCCAAACATGGACCTATATTGAATCAGTAAGGAAAGTAGTAAAGTCGGACTGGTCCGACTATATGATGATACCCTCCACCACTTTGGATATGTACAATATACGTATATATGGGCAATATTGCCAATTTTTTGATATTCCATTTTCAAAAAATCAGCTTTTTTGTTTTTGTGGCACATCAATGATTTTTGGTACACATATAGAGAAAAATGTTCTGACTCCGTAACCGTTCGCGATCAAATTTTTGGTTGATGCGCGCAAAAGTTATCGAGGTTTTAATTTTGGGTATAAGAAAAAAATCTTAAAATTACGGCGTTTATTATATTGACCAAAAACGTTGATATATATCTTCCTCCGTAAAATAGGAATATGAATATATTATAATAATCGCGATAAAGTTGCACATCTTCGCGAAATATGAGAAACATAAAAAAATGTAGAAGATTACATCAATATTTTCATTATATTAATGACATACACACACCTAAAAAATAATTTAAAAATATCTACATAATCTAAACACCATGATGAATCAAATGATATCAAAATCACACAAGTCCGTGTAGCGGTTTCTAAATCAATGCGACAGCAAAACAAGATATTGAGGAAAAATATTTGTTTTTGGTTCGAAAAAAATAATGTCATCATATTTATTTTTTTAATGTTATACATGAAATTTCAGAAGAAAAATGTTGGGGTTATTCTGCTATTTTACCCAATTTCGCCGAAAAATTTACATATATAATAATAATAACTTTTTGTGTATAAGTATACGCCTTGCGGATTATATCAAGACCCTTCCGATAAATATTAGAATTCTATAAATAGGAATAAATCTTAAAATAAAATAATATTATGAAATATACATTTTAAATTGCGTGTAAATCGCGTAATTCTCAAAATCATTTGATGCGCATGCGGTTTCCAGGAAGTACTGAAGTTTATCTTCCAATCCGTGTATATTTTGCGAAATTTCATTTGACGGCTAAGATATGCCACACGTTACATTGAAGTACCCAAAAAATCGTAAAACGCGAATAATTTCCGAAAACTCCATATGCCATTAACGCGCATCCGATTTCGGTGTGCACCCTAAAAAAATACATCGATCTATACCATTTCAATGTGGTCCATTAAGAACCATGGATGTGCCAGCACAATCTATTTTTGAGATAAATTGCGTACATCTCTCTTTCGGCTGAAGTTTTTAAAGTTCTCTTTTCGAAAAAGATCAAAATCCGTATGAGGTCATTTATTGAAGCGGAAATGATACACAGAAAACGCAAGTAAATCCGCGATATTTTCAAAAACATTTTTGCCAAATTTCGTGTTTTTGGAAGGCCAGTTCCCGCCGTTTTAGTAGATGGATTTTCACAAAGAAGATTTTATATCATCCGCAACGTAAAAAACCTTATTGATCGCGGGTACCCATATCATTCAGTTGACAGATCTAAAAATTTGGCCCGAAAAATAGGTTTTTTAGAAATTTGATCGCACAAAATACGCACCTTCGGATGAGTATTACTCTGAAGCTGTGCATACTACATACACAAAATACATATCAAATTACGCAGATTCGCGACTACAATAATCTTATAATCGATTTGTATGAATTCCTGTTTGCGTATTAAAGCTAGAAGTAAAATTAAAAAAATACTCAAAATCGAGCTTCAAACTGTCAGCATCATTTAAAGGTAGATGCAGCTAAAATTTTGAAAAATGATACATATGGGGCGTAGTCCCCATTTTGTTGGCTTCTAGTTTTACTTTGACACGAAGACCGTGAAATGAGTGGCTTAATCACAAATCGATAGAGAACATAAAAAAACTGGTTCGCCTCAACCTGTTTTTACACATTTTTTTACATTAAAGTAGACACAGCTTCCACCAAAATAAAATTTGGATGTCAATATCATGAACAGTTTGCAACGAAAGATCAATTAACCCAAAACTATTCACTTTTTTTCATATACTTAAGTAGTTCCCGAGTTATAAAGGGGTGAACCTCCGCTTCAGCTATGTTAAAAAATTGGCAATATTGCCCATATATGTATCCTTACTATTGCAAGTCAATATTCCCTCGAAGGAAAATACTCACGTACAAATGGAAGCTATGGCTGCCTCTGCACCAATTTCTACAAAACGCAATCACGTCATTCAAGTCTCAATTTGATGCGCTGTGCAAAATTTCGTCTTAATCAGACAAACATTAAGAGTTTTGTGCACCTATTTATGTAGAATCAGACGAAGATATATGTATATGTGGGAGCTATATCGAAATCTGAACCGATTTTTTCCGAAACTTATCACACATCATTCTAGACTCAATTCAGTACGCTATGCCAAATTTCGCGCAAGTCGACGGATATAAAGAGACTTTGGTGCACTATTTACCTAAAACCGGACGAAAATATATATGGGAGTTATATCTAAATCTGAACCGATTTTCACGCATCGTTCTGGACTTAATTAAGTACACTATGCCAAATTTCGTGCAAATCGAAAGATATATAGACTTTGGTGAACTATTTACCTAAAATAGGACCAAAATATATATGTGAGCTATATCTGATTTTCGCAAAACTTTACACACCTCACTCTAGACTTAATTTAGTACGCTATACCAAATTCCGTGCAAATCGAAAGATATATAGGTAAGTTGGTGTACCTTAAATCGGACGAAATTATTTATTGGAGCTATATCTAAAACTGAACCGATTTTCCCAATTTCAATAGGGCCAAATAAATGAGCTGTGCCAAATTTCATCCAATTCGAATCAAAAATGCGACCGGTAATTTGTTTACAATTTAACATGGCCAGACAGGCAGACGGTCGGACATGCATAAATCAATTTAAAAAAGGGATTCTATGCATATTCCCAAAAGGATCCATGTGTCCACCTCGTTTCCTTTTGCTGTTACAAACATATGCACAAAGCCATAATTCCCTTTCCCACAGGGTGGTGAAGGGTATAAAAAAGTCTGCAAGAATGTTTTCAGACCTCCGGGAACCGAGCAAGGAATGACAAAGTATGCGTCTTAAACGTACAAAATCCGAAAATTAGACATGGCCTTTATATGGGGGCTAAGTCAAGCATGGAACTACAGAATACGGAATTTAAAAGTTTGAGCCTAGCGATAATTCTTCTTTGACGTTTGTTTGAAATCTCAAGGCTAGAAGAAATATAGCGAAATCCATGTTGGGGAAAACAATGCGCCTCCTCGCTGGGGAGTCCCGGAGATTTGTCAACCCAATTTTTTGCAAATAATGCTGTTCACTGTGTTTAATTCTTCATGGTTTATAATTGTATGCAATTTTAGACATTCTCAAGAAAAAATATGCGATATATGACCTGACCACAATCATTATCTCACTTTGGTTAGCTTGCTTCACAACTGTAGTAAATCTTATTTGTGTAAGTAGTATTCGTCAGTATAGGAAAATGTTTAAGTATATTTCTATATAAATAAACATAGGGCACTTGATCTTCATGTGAACTTGTTTTAGGCTAAGTATATACAGCATCATTCAAAAACCTACACGGTCAATTGGTATTTTGATTTGCATTATAACTTCACGCTCAGCATCAATGACTGTAATCCACGTTGAAAGTTGTGAAAAATTATCGCATTGACGAGTTAACGGAAGTGCATAATTTATTTTACAAATCCTCACTGTAAACGACAAAACACATGGTCGTACGTCAAACCGTACATTGGAACATTTGAAGTCCACTTTGTCCATTAGGACTATTCAAACGAAAAACCTTGGACAGGCATTATACATTTTCGACTAGGGATATGAAGAAGACGACATAGATACACTTTCTTACGAAATACATAATTTGATATTCTTTTTTGAACAAACCTCGTAGTTTACATTTTCATAGTTTTCAATTCAATATTACTTCAATAAACGTTGATACACCCACAACTATGTATTGATATCAAGTTCAAAACATAATCATGTTTTGAATATGTAAACTAAATAAATAACTCATAAATTCGGTTTATAACGTGGAACGTCCAAGTAAATGGCAAATGAATACATGGCGATATTTGCTTTAGCTCAGCCCAGCCCAATTAATGATATCATATTTCTCATACGAAATTTTTGGAAGTTTTAGTACATTCTACATTGTGTAAGACAAACTATTTAATCCTGTAATGATATTATCGTCTAAATTATACCTAAAATGCACATGGAAACAAATTAGCAAACGATTATTAAATCAATGAGTGCTTAAAAACCTACCTTTTCAGACATGACCATATTGTTGTCATCGGTGCCATAGACGGTCTCAGCACCAGGCTGAGGACCACGATTGTTGAGTAACGTGTCGTCGTTATCCATGGTTGTAATGTTTTTTCTTGTTTCCTTTTCGGTTCTGTTTTACAAATCCTTTCGAAATTCTTCACTTGTTCCAGCAACGAAGAGTCAATAAAAATACAGAACACACACACTCTCCCTCTCTTCTCATGCACTTCTTAAATTATCCATGGAGAAACATACACTCTCCACCATATATATGGGTATATGTCAAATTTGTTGTGTCGCCTGAGTCGTGTGAGGGCAAGCAGGCGACGTTTTGGGGGAGAGGTGAAATGATGATGTCGTCAAACGAAGGATTCGCGCACTCATAGAAGCAAGTGTCAAGTGAGGGGGGTTGTACAACCCCTTATAAATTGTATGTTACTCCGATCCTTTGCTCTCTCTTCCTTTAACAAATCATAGGTTTTTCACTACATATGTTTTAGCTTATATATAAAAATACTTTTTTTTATTATTAAAGAGGATATTTTCCACCAGACAAAACAATTTTTTTTATTACATTATTCACTCTCTTGTTTGCTCTCTTTTTTCTATTTTCAAATTAAATCACACTTTAATTAATGCAGAATTTTCTTTGATATTTCAAACTTCATAAACACATTTTCATTATTTATTTATATTTCTTGTTTTGCTGACAAAATATATAACAAAATTTATCTTTTTTGTTGTTGTTATGCTTTTGTGTGTTTTATTAAACAATTCAAGGTAGTCGTCGTCTAAAAGATAGATTTTTTTCAATCGTTTTACTGGCTGGCTGACTGGTGCTGCTGGTCGTCGATGTGTTGTTGTTGGTAGGTAGGTCGGTCGGTTGGTCGTTTCTTCAAACAAGAAACAAGGAAATTATTTGTAATGACTAGATAGATTTGCCCGAAAGAGAGACGTTTTCATAGGCCAATTTATACGCTATGAAATTTATATTTCAGCACACCAATATTGCACATTGCTGCCGCGTCACTTCGTTTATGTGTTTAGAACACATTTATTTTGAATTATTTCATATTTTCTGGGTTATTTTGTAAAAAAGAATTTTGCATAAAAATTGTTTGATAGCGAACGCGTATTATGACGTGAAAATTTTCTTGGTGTGTAATGAATGAAGAAAAGAGAACTGAGTCGTTGCGTATAGGGTAACTTAGGTCGATTTGTGACTAATCGATTGTTCGACTTCAAGATCGAATATTAAAGTATATTATCGACGTTTTAACTGTCGATTTTTTGTTGTTGTTTGGCTCCGGCAATTTCTAATTGGATATGGAAACTCCACAAGTCAATATTTAGCTTTTTAGAACTTGAGTGCCGAAATATTAAACCTATACTGTTTTATTTGGGTTTAATTGTAATAAACTAAACAAAGACGTTGCGTATCATAGAAAGGCAAAACGTATAGCGTATTATTTAGTATGAAGAGTGGAGGATAAACAATAACTTATTTTATTTTCATAATCTGAGACATGGATATGATAAAAATTTACTTCATCGAAATATTTTTTCAAGCCCTCAAGTGACTTTAGTAATAGTGTTACACAACTTATATAATGACAGATTATAAGAACCCATCGACGCACGAAGATTCGAATTTTTAAGATTTTTTAATTTGACATATCAGAATTGATTTAACTTTCACAATCGTAATACATAGGACATGGATAAATATAGAACTCAACGGCTCACTCATTCTGGCACTTCCTCCACATAGGGTTAGCCTTTCATATAAATATTAATATACTATTTAATATTGCTACTAACCTGTAATTGTTTACCACAAATTAATGCCTAAAATGTGACTGTCCTAATATGGGACCAGCCCACTTACAAATCTTAATTCTCATATGAAGCTAATTGAGTATTAGAATGGATCCAAAATATGAAATCGTACTATTTTAGAACCCCTAAACGTTACCCGATCATTACAGAAACCTTCGTGATTCCTCCTTGCTCCGATATCCTGCAATGTGTAAAATTTCGACTACATCAAGTAAAAAAGTGTCAGTCGGTATTGACGGCAGATATATACCCTCAGTCCATGGTCTGCCGAGGTCTATGGAATTACACAAAGGTTTATAATTTTTGTTGGGATGTTTCCCATCTTCGGACTTGATCTAGGTTTGCAAAGTTTGGATCAAATCGGACATTTAATTCCGATTAACAAATTTAAAAATTTTAAAGGAGTATACCGACGACTGCCATCTTCAGAGGTTGTAGAAGACGTGGGCCGACAAGTCCCATCTTTCAACATTATACAGTCCTGATTATATTAGGTTGTACAAAGTTTGGTTCGAATCGGATAGTTTTCAGATAAATTTGAGCATATTGTGGGGTATGTACAAGAAGGGGTTGACCCATTCGGGAATATTAAAATGTGCAAAATTTCCATGATATTTGTTATTCCGTTCGCTTCATATAAGATGTAGACATTTGAAAATATTAACCTATTACGATGTACACATTGTTAATGAAATTGGATATTACGTTCGCTTCATATTAGATGCACAAGTTTTCAAAATTTTAACCCTTTGTGTGGAGGTACCAGAACGACGGGTCCCATCTTCGGACATAATCTATGTAAGATAAACACATTAAGATGTGCAAAGTTTCGATGAAATTGGACATTCTGTTCGCTTCATATTATATGTACAAGTTTTCAAAATTCTGACCCTTGGTGGGGAAGTCCCATCAATATTAGGTTATGACATCTTTAGTTCAAATCGAATAGACCGTTCGTGTGATATTATAAAATAAATTTCACCAAAATTTTGATAACTTTGTTCGAACTTGCTCAAAGTTTGAAATAAATATTACTATGTGCAACGTTGGAAAGATAGACATTTGTAAATAGATATCAAATGGTCTGAAACGGATCTGACCCAAAGAAACATGGGGTCTAAAAACAATATTTTGATGAGGCACATTTTTCCGTATAGAGGTGTATATACCCTCATTAACCAGGCTGAGGGTATATAAAACATGGTTAACGCTTTATATACTATATGGAGTCTGCGACGAATGCTTCGATCTTATTCGTGTGAAATGAAAAATGAATAGCAAATCAGTTCATGTTTTAAGAGTATACGAAAATAGACCCTAAACACAAATTGTTCTTTATATTACTTCCATGTGTTTGGGGTTGAAAGTTAGTAATACAGGTTTAGGTTGTTGGTCGTGCTTTGGTAATGGTATTTCCCTATTTTAAACTTCTTAATATATAATATTTTCAAATTTTGATATATGTCTCTTACATGTAGAAAAATCCAATATTCACATTTATTAATTATCATTTACAAACCCAATGCCTGTATATTTTCTTTTTAATTAACAAATCATTACACTCTTTTTCGCGTTTTGTAAATTTAAACAATTTTTCATTTATTCTATTTTGGTAAAAACTTAAAAACAAATTCATTTCATGGAAATGTTTTACAAATTAACATTTCTCTGGCGGAGTTTAAATTAGACGAAAATAATTAAAAAAAGGGTTTTTTTTGCAAATGCTGTTTGTTGTTATTCCTAAGTAGTATATATACCATTTCCATAAACGAAAATATGGAAACAATTAAAAAAACACATGAATTCCAACAAGTGATACCGTGGAATTGGTGGTAAACAGAGCTAACATTTCTAAAATGTTATTTAAACTAAATGATATTTACACTTCTACTCTGTGCCCATTGTCCATTCCAGGCAGCACGTGTCTCAAGTCTTAATTAATCCTTGTTCAGTGATGAATTAATCCCACAAAGTTAACTCCTAAGTGTTTAAAGCAATTTCGTTTCTTATGTGTTGGTGTGTTTGTGTTTGCTAAAGTATATGATGGTGACGAGATGTTGCTGTTGTTGTTGGTGGTATGGTACTGTTGTCATTTCCCCCGTTGCATCCATATGAACTATTCTTTGGAAGCCATATGACCCATCAAATTCCCCGAAAACTTTTCAATTTTCTTCAGATCGGGCATATTTTCGGCTTTGTATTGAATGCACTGCAAGAGAGAGGGAGGGAGGGACATGAGTTAGTGGACATCGAAGAGCCAACGAATTGCATGTTTTCTTACCTTGACGTTGTCGGTCAATTTCAACAGTATGTGACCCTTGTTGTGGACATATTTCATGGTATAGCGACAAGTGGCCGGATTGGCCATGTACATATTTTCGGCAGCTATTTCAAAATCTTCCCAACTTTTAACGAAAACCATGGCTAGTGTGGAATATTTCTACGCGATGTTATGAGGCAGGAATACAAATTGTGTGGGGATTTGCGAAAGTGAAATTAAAATCAAAGAACTGGGATTTTTTGTCGTCGTGTTGTTTTAATTTGTCAAAAAGTTTGACATTTTCTTTTGTACTTGTCATTCTATTTAGGGATGTGTAGATCGACTATTTGGCTAATCGATTTATCGACTTTCACACTGACTATTTGGCTAATCGAAAATTTATGGTTTGTGTCTTTGCTAGCCTCAAAAATCACACTGCGTTTACAAGCGATAGTAGATTTCCTGCACAAAGAACAAATGAAAAGGGTCTCTAGAAAATTTCGAATGGTTTGTGTCTTTGCTAGCGTATACTCAAAAATCTGGTTGGATACATAAGTTTGAATATATTTTAATTTATTTGACATATTATACAAAACAATACAACCAAGGTGTATTAAATAAGGTGTAAGTGACAATCATATGGTTTTAAACTTTTTTCTTTATTGTTTGTAAAGTAAATTGTCAAAAACATTTTCAACAATTAATTACGATTTACAAAAATTGAATTTAAATTTAGGATTTTGATAAAAAAATATGTTCATAGAGAGGGACGAAAAGCAAACTTAGGCTTAAATCAGTTTTAAACCTTTTCGCTGATTTGATCCAAAGTTTACGTTTTGTATCCCGTATTGAAATCTGTTCATAAATCCTAGCAGATTCCAAAAATCAATCCAAAGGTGAAAGTCTTTGATATACTCCTATAGACAGATTGCACAAGGGCAACACAATTTCTTTGATTTAGTCTTTGGCCGGGGATTTACGTCCACCAAGGAGGCGAAATTTGAAGGCAATTCTTCGAAAAAAAAAATTGTAATTTACAATATAAGCAATATCACCAGGAACCAAGGGCTACAAGTTGGAAACATTTCAAAATAATTCGTGACCGGGTCTTAAACTTAAAATTGCCAAAAATCCAAAACAAATTCCTTAATTATTCTTCAAAGAAAAGTTCTTGACACAAATTAATAAACATAAATGGATAATTGTTTTTATTTATTTTTGTCAAAAACTAATTGTCAACATGACAATTTAATTTCTATAACATCAATGTTGTTTTTGTAAAATGTTAGTTGTTGTAGCTGATGCATACACCTTATTAAATACACCTTGAATACAACCATACTCAAAATATATATTTTGATTTTATGGGACCAGCAAGCTTTAGAAAAAAATGTAATCAGTTGGTAGCTGTGACTTACCTTGTAATAATTATACCATAGCCTAAATCAAGTCCGAATGTGGGTGGGTAATGAAACCTGTGTATAAAGCTAATAATAAGGTAAAATCAGTTTAACGTAATACTAAAAGTTCTGGCAAAGATATAATGTACGAATATCAAAATTAGTAAGTAATTCTTTAAAATCAATGCAGAAACCATTACACAATAAATATGTAGTCCATTTAGCGCATCTTATGTCTCGATTTTACGTAGTAAAAATTCATACAAAATTAAATTCTTGCAGTACGATAACTTACCAATCGTCAAAAAATGTAATTTGATTCCCCTGCTTTATTAGCTACGGCATTTTTTGATAGGGGTATTTTCGATATTTTTCAGAAAGGTTATGATTTTTTCTTGTGAAAAACAGTGTTGTATTTGGAATTATGTCGATTTTTATTATGATATAAAGAAAAGTGATGCTTTTTTTTCTGGTGGAATAACAGTGTTGTATTTGGAATTATGTCTATTTTTATTATGATATAAAGCATAGTCTAACATTAAATATACATCGAACGTGTATTACGGAAATCGTCTTTTATTTGACATATATACAAAGAAACTACAACTTATACTACGAATTAATGATAATTTATTACAAAATACGTTCTGTGTAAATGGAGCTTAAAGAATTTAACACTAGAAAGACTGGAATTTTGAATATACCTATATTGCCTAAAATCGGTCAAAATGACTTCATTCTGAAAGAATTTTTATTTTGTAAAGAAAATTTTTTAAACTTATTTATTAATATTTTTTACATTATTTACAATGGTCATGGATTACTTCAGCAAATGGCCAGAGGTTTATGCTATCCCAAATCAAGAAGCCAGGACAATTGTGGATGTGTTCAGCAAAAATTGGATTTGTCGCTATGGTGTTCCATCTGAGGTTCATTCCGATCAAGGTAGGAATTTTGAATCAGCGATCTTCAAGGAAATGTGTGACTCCTACGGAATCAAGAAAACCAGAACGACGCCCCTACATCCACAATCAGATGGCATGGTGGAAAGATTCAATCGCACCCTGGAAGAACATCTACGGAAAGTGGTGGACAGTGGCCAACGAGACTGGGATGAGCATATTCCCAAGTTTTTACTAGCTTACAGATCGGCCATTCATGATTCCACATCCCGGACTCCAGCCAAAGTTCTGTTCGGAAATGAATTAAAGCTACCTGGCGACTTGATATTCGGTGCTACCCCAAACGATGTGAACCAAGATGAAGACAGTCAAAACTCTTTTAGTAAAGTCCACGATGCAGTCCGACATCGAATAAAAATGGTTAGCAACCGCTTGAAGGCAAGGTACGATCGAGCGGCAAATACCGATGGGTTTCAAGAAGGGCAACTGGTACTATTGTTCAACCCACAACGAAAAGAAAGGACTATGCCCCAAATTGCAAACGCACTGGGAAGGACCCTACAAGATTGTCACGAAAATAAATGACGTCGTTTATCGCATCCAGAGGAGCGACAGTCCCAGGTCGAAGATGAATGTTGTACATTTGGAGCGGCTGACCCCCTACGGAACGGGAACTGTGCCTATTCGGGACGAACAGGCTTAAGCGGGGGGCAATGTTACGAATATAAATTTAGATTTAAGTTACTTTAGATGAATTCCGTTAATTTAAGAATTTGAATTGTAACGTAAATTTCTACTACGCAGTTTATTTGAATGACTTCATAACAACAACTACTGTATAGATTTTTCTACATCCTTCCATTTCCTCTTTTATTTTCTATTTTGTTATTGTTTACTCAATGTAAGTTTGTATGTGTTGTTGTTATTGTATGCTCAATGTAAGTTTGTATGTGTTGTTGTTATTGTTTACCCAATGTAAGTTTGTATGTGTGTTTGTTGCATTGGTAGATTGTTCGTGATCTAGGTGTTACCAGATCGTCTAGAAACTTCTGTAGCTACAAGCAAGGCTCATATAAATAGGGGAAATGGAAAGGCAGTGGGTCAGTTGTGAATCAGATCGCGAATTGAAACCGTCGTGTAAAGTAAAGTGCAAAGTAAAGTTGTGTGAATAAAATCATTGTAATAATCGTAATCAGAACGAACCCGCGTTTTATTTGGTACGAACTGTATCGGGAAATAAAACAACGTCTACACGGGAATAAGTGAAGTCCAAGAACGTAACAATATACACAATTGTTTTTGTTCTTGAAATTGAAAAACGGTCAAAATGACTGCCTTCGGCTACCTAGTGTTAAACGAACTCCAGAACTATGTAAATGTAATATTACCTGTAACAACAAACCCTGGCGCAATAAATTGATTGTTCATTTAGAGCAGCTGATGACTTGATTAACTATTAAAGTGCAATGTTGCCAACCATGTGAAATATTATATGGAAAAAATTGACAGCTGGTCGAGACAAAAACAAAGGTTTTTAGTAAGAATCAGCAACTAAACTGCTGATTCAAGAAAACATTTTTATTTGTGCCAAAATAAACAAACAAGCAGTCGACGAACATAATTAATTGTATTGTATTTAATATTTAAAATAAAATGAACAATAAAAGAAAAATTGATTTGGTATGTTCCCCGGGAACATTTAAGCTTCCTGCATCAATATATTGCCGTCTTTCCTAAAAGTATAAATAATTAGTTTCTAATTCAATGTAATGCAAAGCTTTTCTTACGAATTTTCTTCCATTTTCTGTATTTTTTATACAACTTAATTTCAAATTGAACTTTGCAAATTAAAAAAAAAAGTACTGAATAATTTTTGTGTTTGGTCATATCAAATATCGAGTAAATCGAGTGGTCAAATATCGAGTAAACAGAAACAACTATTATTGCATCACGTATTAAACAAACGAACATACAAGTGTTGCCAAACATATTTTAGTTTGTGTTTAGTACGTAATATAACAGATGGCGCATCTATTGATTTTGAAACATTTCGTTGGCACAAATCCGTTTCAGACAATTTGGAGTCGAAATTATAGAATTATTTCAAAGTTTTGAAATTGTCCATTGGTTGGCATTTTTCTTAGTTCCCATACGGCAAAAATCTACGATATTATAAGGAAAAATTGTAATCGTAAGAAAGAATTGTAAATTCTTGCAGTACGGTAACTGAGTAAATATCGTAAAAAATGCATATCGTAATACCAGTGGACAATTGCAAAACTTAAAAAAAAACAATCGTTTTCAATCTTTCAAATCGTCTAAATATGTAAAATACGTTGTGACCTCTTAAACATGTTTGAAACATACGTGCTAACACGTATATCGCGAAATATTATTATTTATCCTATCCAGTAGGTATTATGGAAGATTTAACAAGGTATTAAAAAAAAAAACAATTTAATTTGAAATTAATTGTATATTCCGTTTTAAATAATTACATTTTTGTATGTTCATTTCCCCAACACTACACCTGTTTCTGTTACCTTATTAATTCTACCTTGCTGTCTACGATTCACATATTACTAATCTCATAGGCATCCTCATTGAATGCGAAACAATGGGTTTATAAGCGATACTTAAGTTTGCAGTTATGAATCATTCATTCATTGGTATTCAGTATTAAATAGACATTTGGTGTGAACAAAAGGCTGCAGCAAAGCTGTATTCATATTTTTTCAAATTAAATACGATTACTTATTGCAAGCAAAAATGAAGCTGTTGTCATTAATATTATTAATATTATGTGGTCTAATTGTAATGACTTGTGAGGTATATAATGAATGACATCTCACAAAGATGCAAATTTAATATTTAT